TATATATATAGTTTGAAGAAAAAATGGTGACACTTAGTCTACTATTTTAATAGATATCAACTATATACCAGATGCCCAAACCACCACAGTTTGCACATTTTGATGCAGGAGAGCAGCAGCTTTGCTCCAAGCTCCAACCAGATGGAAAGCCTCACTTCATACCAAGGGCTGACCCCATCTACAGTACCAATGGACTCCCATTTCAGCAGTTTGAATCTAGTGCTTCATTAATTTGGTCAAGATGGAAACAAGATGTTTAACACTGTGGACAAGGATAAATCTGTGAAACAGCTGAGTCTGCTAAGGAGGTTTTATCAACTGGTGAAGGCTGACTGAAGATAATTTTGTTCCATGAGTAAAACAGATTCTAGTGGTGGTAAAACCTCATGTTAAAGAAACAGTACATGAGTACAAAATAAAGTTACATAAGTCCAAAAACAGTTAAATAAATCCTTTGCCTAGAATGATTTGAGAAAGTTTTGCCACCCAAAATTGCTTTATTAACCAACAAATGCAAAACATGGAAGATAGAGGCATAAAAGATAAGATTATTATTCCTGTAGGACACAGCAGTCCTTTAAAAATACTGAATTTATTTAAAAATGTTTTGTATAAATGTTGTCAATGTGTATATCATTGTTTAAAAGATAAAAGAAAACTGAAAGCTTGTGTAAATAAAATAAATTTAGAATCTGCATGGATAGAGTTAAGCATTAATTTTCTTGACGACTTCACAGCTTCAGAGAATAAATTAGTTTGTTTTCTGTGACTAATTGTTTCAGTCTCCCACGCTGCTTTAATGCAGCTTTTCTATCATAAACGGAAAAAAACAGTTTTCCATCCAAGAGGACAACCTGTATCTACTTCGTACAGTATGTTCCCATCCAGCTTTGCTTTGACAGACAGTTAGGTAGTGGAACAGCACAGAAAGTTAATTCTAATGAGCACAAAACACAAGACATTCTAACAGACGCAAAACAGCAGCACAGAAGTTAATTATCAGCGGACTTGTGAAATAAAATCCTTTTCATTTTTAAGTGGCTGTTTTATTGAGAAAGGATCTTCCCTGCATCTCTTTCTCATTTTGGTAAGAGACCACTAGTTCTGTTCCTGTCCAGTGTTGAAATGTGGACTTTTTACTTAGAAAAAAAAACTAAAGTTCTAACAATCATCAAACCTTTATTACAGACTCATGGTCCACAGAACAAAGACAAGAGAAGCAGATTAACAATTAAATCCAAGAACAAACAAACAACACAAAAAAAAAAAACCTATAAAAGACAGCAATTCCAGTACCTCCACAACTGGGACTGGTAACGTGTTACACTGAGTCTTATTTTAGTCAAGCTCATAATAATCAAATTACAGCATGCATTGACACGACCAATAAATTTAAACATCAAATTTCTTAAAAGAGCCCGAAAAGTTTTGAGCCCAGTTGTCACAAAGATTTGACTAGCACTTTCCCATCTTGGCTTCTTCAGTAAGAGTCTGAGGCAATCGTTGTATGCCACGTTAAGTTTACTCATGCTAGCTCTCTTGTAGTTAGATCACAAATGTGCAGTATATAAAGGTGTGCAGTAGGCCTTAAACAGAGATATCTTTACCTCATCAGTACAAGCACCAAACCTCCTGATGAGCATAGTAGCCTGTCCATACAGCAGGCGACACTGCATGTAAATATCATCATCATCAGTCAGGTCTTCAGTGACAAAATGCCCCAGAAATTTGACTTTATTACCCACAGTCAGAGTATTTCCACATAATAAAAACTGAGGAAATCTCACATTTTTGTCATCCTTAGTCCTGCTGATCATGACAACACTTTTACTGGCATTATATTTTATATCATGTTCCATGCCATACTTGGAACAAATATTTAAAAGTTCTTGGAGTCCAGTACTGCTGGGACTGAATACAACAAGATCATCTGCATACATCAAATGATTTACAAGGGTAGAACCAATAGCACAACCAGTTTTACATGCTTTTAGTCTCTGTGACAGATCATCCATAAAAAGATTAAAAAGAGCAGGAGATAAAATCCCACCTTGCCGCACACCATTTCTGACCCCAAATGAGGCTGACACATTACCTCCCCATCTCACCTGCATCACCTGGTGAGAATACCAATAAGCTAATATTCTCACTATGTGCCTCGGGACGCCTCGATGATACATCTTAGCAAATAGTTTCTTATGATTTATGCGATCAAAGGCCTTTGATGCATCAACAAAACACAATGTTTATTAGACAGAGAATTTGTACATGTACACCATTAAGTAATTTACCATTGTTTTTTTTTTTACCAATACAGAATTAAAACCTCAGCCAATCCCTAAATTGAGAGTAAAAAAACACACAGAATCCAAATGCAGCTTTGTTGTGTAGTCAGCTAATGTAAACTCAAAAATTATTAATGGTCAGAAAGAACAGAAATGTGGGGATGTATTATTAAATTATTACTCTCTATGTCATATGTCAGAGCCTACGGAGCCCGCGAGGGGACACGGGGGGATTTTTTTTCCTTTTGCATTCCCATGCAATACCTTTGCGTTCCCTCGCAATACTTTTCCATTCCCTCGCTACCAAAACAGGATGTGTCACCACAAGTTCGTGAAATTGACATTGATGTTGCGTGGCTGTACTGTGTTAAAATATCGGCATATGACATACTTCCATGCGTGGCTGTGTGATATATTCATTTTGAAGCTGAATTAAAGCAGTAGGCTAACTTGCTAATGGTGAACATGTGAGTTTGCTAATAAACCAGCAGGCACAACAGTGATAAACTACTTTTGCAAGGGAATGCAAAAGGTATTGCGAGGTAATGCAAAAGTATTGCGAGGTAACGCAGTACTATTGCGTGGGAACACAAAAGAAAAAAAATTTCTAATGTCCCCTCGCAGGCTCCGTAAGAACCAGATCAAGAGTGTGATGAAGAGAATGAGAATTTTTTGTTTATTTAATTTGGTCTGTGGATGAGCTGACACTTTTAATGGGGGTTTGGGTGGGTAACAGAGGAGAAGCAGCAGAGAAGGGTGTAAAACAAGGTGGGTTTCCTGGACTGCACTCTGGGTTGACAATGATTTTGGTGGTCAACAAAATCAGCCAAATTCCTAGAAAGGAGAGTAACTCCAGCCAAAGTAGAGCGGAAGCCATCTCTTTGCATCAGACCTGACAAGGATCAAGAATATTCAAGAACTGAGCAGAATCAACTGACCAGACACAGAGACTGTGCTTTACTTACAGGTGCTGTAAGGAGAATCTGGATCTGAAAGTGGGGGGAAGCAATAGGGATGCTACTGAAAACCGGTATTTTATAGCACGGACACGTGTTGTTTAGA